AAAAAGAGTGAGAAGATTTGAAACACATCATTGCCACATCATTCCCCAGGGATCGTATTTTACACAACCCTAGACTATGAGTGCAAATTTGGTCATGTTCTTACTAAAAATGTTTATCACAACCTGCTTTGCTGTGCTGCCTGTTTTCAAAGATCATCTTTGTCCCCAATACTTCTATCCCCAATACTTCTGGAAACCATCTATTTCTTCCTGTTGAATCACACTAGACACCAACACTATAAACTGGCAAACATTTTTCTAGCTTTTATTTTTACTTTTTTGTCCTTGAGACAGGGTCTCCCTGTAGCCCCAGCTGGCCTGGAACTTGCTATGTAGAGCAGGCTGGCCTTGAACCCAGAGAGATCCACCTGCCTCTGCCTCCCTAGTACTGGAACTAGATGGTAGCTGGCACTATCATGCTCAGCCTAATTTTAATTTAAAAAAAAATTCTCTTTGTGTTTATGTTTAGGTGTTCATGTGTGACCATGCACATGGAGGCCAGAAGTTTATGCTACGTGTCTTCCTCAACAACTCTTCATCATATTTTTTTGAGACAGGGTGTCTCACTGAACCTGGGGCTCCCTACCTGTCTAGATGGTTGACCAATGAGAGCCCAGTGATCACTGTCTCTGTCTCCTCAGTCCTGGAGTGATGGGTGTGCAATGCAGCACCCATTTTTGTTTTTGTTCCCTGAGTGCGAGGGATTGAACGCAGGTCTTCCTGCCTGCTCAGCAAGTACTGAGCTTTATATTTATCTTATTACTTCACATCAAACATTTAAATGTCCATAAGGCTAAACACCTCAATCTGTGTTGTGATTTCTGTCACCAGTAGATACATCTTATTTAACATAATGTTCACATGATATCCATGTGTAAGTTGGCGATCTTCCTCCTCCTGCTTGTTTTTCTTTTCATAGACGACTAGCTTATACTGCCAGAACAATGTTTGCTGTGCTGACACTGTAAATGAAAAGTAGTATGAAAACATAAATGTTAAATTTTCCCTATGAAAATAAATTATTGTTGGAAAATGTTCATTTAAAAATAGTATTTAATTATTATTGTAGATTGTGATGACAGCAATAGGGATAGGTTGTAGAGACTTTGCTGGCTCAAGAAATTTTATTATGCTTATTCAGCATCACCAGTTTAAGCACTGTATGCGTTATGAGTTTTAGAGGAAAAATTACAAGATTGTTCCAAAAGAGAAGATGAGA